ATGGTCATCCTGAAACAGCCTGTGTGATTCTAACACTGTAAAATTTCAAGACAGAATAAAATGCAGTTTCTGGTGGAGGATTAATTAGGACACTCACACATTCATTCAAACTTGCATCAACTCAAGTATACATGATGAGAACATGATTAATCTGCATTTTGAGGGAGATTTAAACATTTATTATGTTGCTCCTATCTTTCTGGAATAATGTTCTTTAGACATTATTATAAAACAGAAAAGGAACCCTAACCTACAACCAAAACCAGGATTAAGATGGGATGTGATGAATTTAATCAATCTAAAAAATATTTTATGATCAAAAATGTGACCGGTATTTCATAGGACACTAAAAATATAAATGGAGGATTAATGTTTTAAATAAACTAAATCTGTTTCTACGTACATTGTATATAGAAAGAGATTGCTGATTATCAACAGAAACATTTTTACTGACATTGTAACAGTTTTAAAGTTCCTGACCTGCTTTTTGTCCTCTGGTATCTTAACAGTTTATATTTAGTTCTGAGCTTCATGAGTTTGGAAAGCCTCATTGCCATCACCCTCATGTTTGCTGCCAACACAGATTCTCTGTCAGACTCAAGTTGACCAAAATGTTAACATACTTTCTAGTTCGCAGAAACATTTCTGGACAAAATAAATGATTTCTTTAAATTTAAGTGTAACAGAAATGTGTTAATTTTAGGCTTCTCTATATAATTGTACACAAAACAAAACAATCCACTGAAACCTGTACACTTGACTTTTGTTTCAATAAATCTCCTTAAGTCGTTGAGCAATCATTCCACTTTTTAAACAAACCATTAAATCCATTTACATGTTGATATGTGTTCCTCCTTTTGATCAGAGTTGCATTTTAAAGAAATGTTGTTGCAGCAGACGCTGATGAAGCTTAAATTTCTCCTTTTTCGTCATCAGCCTAATCAAAAATCTGCTCTAATATTCTTTTTTTCTGTACATTGAAATAAGAAGTTTCTCAACACTCAAAGACTCCATCAGACTGTAAATATCAAAAGGTAATTACATGCACAGTGGCTTTGAAGCCCTGGAGGCGGATGTGTCAGAGAGCAACCTTCCTGAAATTTATCGCTTTAAAACGCACTTCAGTCTTCTAACGCGCCACCATCTGTGGCTCTTAAAATATGGATTTCTACTGTGTTGCCATTTAGCAACAATAATGAACACTGAACTGTCTTTCAGGACGACAGAGATGTGAGCTTAGCTCTGAAATCTGCAGCTGGGCTTCATTCCCTTTTGCAGCCTTGTTTTATTGTGCTGCTGAGGTCTATGATCCTTGCAGGATGAATCTGCCGCTGCGACACAAAAAGGGAGGCAAAAAAAAGTCCCTGTGACAATTTAAAGCTGGTCCAAAATACACAAAGATAGACCTAAACTATCAGGATTTAAATGCTGCTGCAGCTTGACAGAAAGGGAGAAACAAATCTAAAATCTGAGAATTGATTTTAGAAAACCAACCACAACGAAAAAAAGCAGCAGGAAGGATTGTAGAGAGGGAGGTATGAAGATGAACAGTAGTAAAGAGGAACATGACAGCTCCTCTCTCTGATATACAGATGCAGCAGGGGAGCGGAGGGACAAAGGGACGGCAAACCTCGAGAGAGGAACAGGGAAGGAGAAAATAAAACCAAGGGATATGTGTTGATGACCGAATGGGAACTGGCAACAGGACCAGCAGGACAGAGAAAAATCAGCATCGAACAGAGAGAGGAGTTGGTTGTGGGCAGGAGGGGGTATAAGGGGGAGTTAAAGGCTCGTCTGAGTCAGAAGCAGCAGGAGGAGAGAAGAAACAACTGAAGCACAGAAACAGCAGGAGGTAAACAGACAGAGAGCAAAAAGATTCACAAATCCATCTGGAAACTAGTTTCTTGTGGGAAATGACATCAACCAGAAGATGTCTCCCTTCATCTCTTTCTCTGTTTCATTTGATTTACGCAGGGAACAATTAGTTTTTAAATTATAGAAAGTTGGCCTATTATGTTTCCTTGAACAGGTCAGGATAGCTCTGTGGTCTATACAAAACTATTTTTTTTACAAAATCATTCTTTGATAAGGTTTTAGCCTGATTAGTTTTGATTATTTGGAACATTTTTTTATGGCCTCCTATCACTTTAAATCCAAACATGCTGCTGGCCACGCCTCAAACTCAGTGTTTACACTTGCATATGAAAATGGCTGCAAACAGATGCACAATCATGCAACCGTACATCTTTGAAAAGCAGAAGTAGAGCATTCTGCAAAACCAATAAGAATGCGGGAAGAGGCTTCTGGATGGTAAGTCAAGAATAAACCACTTGATTTTTTTCTGTGCACATACAGCAGAAAAACCGTTGTATGTGCGGCTGACCAAACAGCCGCACATACATCCTGTTTGGTCAGCCGCACTAGCAATCCTAGTAGAGTGTCAATAGGTTGCTAACAAAAAAGTGTGAATTTTGCACGATTGGTCGGCCCCCTTTAAAACATTTTCTGTCACCACTATTCTTGCGTTGCAGCAAGAAAATCCTGAGTTTCTGGTTCCTCCCACAGAAACGAACAATCAACTCTTAGGTTGATTGTTCGCTTTAGATTGCTATCAGGGATGAATGCATCCTTTTTTGCCTCAAGTTAATGACGTAAAAGTCAAATAAGATGCAACATGGCGGTTCACACTTCTTTGATAATCAGATATGTAGCCACGTTTGTCCCACATATGGAAGTGGCGCAAGCCTCGTTTTGTCACATTATAACCAGAAAGTAAAATATTTTTTATTGGATAAGTGAACACAGAAGACAGGCAAGACATGGAAAGAGTTTGGGAAAACTGCAAACTAATAAAAGAAAAAAAACATCATCCAGAAAAGAAGCCAAGACATGCAGAGTCGGGTATGGGAAACTGTACAAAGTGGTTAAGTTTGTGTTTATTTACCACTTATCCCTTGAATATCTTTCTGATTTATTTGATATTTTTATAGTTGGTCATTTTTTCACTTAAACGTTGCTCTGAGCATATGTTGTTTGTTTTAGGTTAACACTACAAAACCATCATGCTTTTGTCATAAAGGTGCATTTCTAGTAAATTATCAGTTTATATTTTACTCACCATTTTTTGTCCCTTTTGAGGCTCCAGCCTGAATGGGCGGAGCCAGCCCAGCATTTCCTGCTGAGGTTTCTGATGTCACTGACTGCATCAACCAAATGAAGGGTTTTCTTTTCTGTATTATATTGTTTGTTTTCTTCAAAGTAACCTGTTGAGTTGCCCTCTACTAAATGTTTTAGTTTGCAAACCGTTTATCTTTGTAGATGAATTTGCAAAATAGATTAATAATCATATTCCTGTTTCTTTGTTTAGATTTTGTTGTTTGGTTTGACCTCTTCTTTCATGTTATGGTCTAATAAAATGCAGGTGTGTTGACATTTTTGTATAAAATCTGTAAGATTTTGGCTACTTGATATTAAATTAAGTAGCCAGAGATGTTAAATAATAAATGACACTACCTCATTTCATATAGCAGGGGTCTTCAACCTGCGGCTCTGGAGCTGCAAGTGGCTCTTTGGTTCTTCCACGATGGCTTAGATGATAAAGAAGCAACTTTTTCTATCTATGGATGCAATAACAACAACATTGTATTTGCTAAAAAACATGATATCTTTCTCACCATGAAGTTGGAATATCTGTGTTTTTGGGGGGGGGTTTTGTTTTGTTCTTTGACATAATTATCCACAAATATCAACATCCTATAGTCTATTTGCAAAGGTTTTATGTTGGTTTCTTTTTTCATTTTAAGACCTTGGACTAGAAGTAAAATGTTGGCTTTTTGAAAAAAAAACACCAAATCTTTTGGATATTCATCAAAAATTGAAAGGTCAGGTAGCATGCAGCACTAAATGAGTTTTTTTGTTTGTTTGTTTGTTTCAGAAAGAGTAAAAATGGTTCTTTGAACTGTAAAGGTTGCAGACTTCTGTTCTAGAATGAACAGGAGCAAAATCCTGAAAGCAAACCTAACAAAGGAGGCAAAAGAGATGACACTGCGTTGGAAATTTGACTTTCAGGACAATGCAAGAAACATAGAGCCAGAGCTACTGAGCGTAAGATTAAAGTACATGTCTGAAAATGGCCCAGTCAAAGTCCTAAGACCAGGCCTAAATCCAACTGAAAAACTGCAAGTGGCAAGATTTGGAAATAAATCTTAAAAGTCATAAGGAAGAGAAAAATAAAAGATTCAATCTCTAGAGGAGCAAAGCGTGTGAAAACAAACCCCATTCTTTGAATCGCTACAAAATATTGATTTAATAGGGCTGAATATATTCACAAAACACACCTTTCAGGTTCATTTTTGTAAACAGAGAAGTAAATTGTCTCTCCTTTTCTCTGCATGTCACAATTTACTTCTTCTGTTTATCCCGTAGTATGCGTTCTGTGAGCCTTGCTCCTTCAAATCAGAGAAACCTGACAGCAGCAGGAATACCTCTGCATTTTCATGGCATGCTGAACAGAGAAAGTTAACTGAATGAGACCATCTCGCCTCCTTCCCTTAAACATTTCCCACAGCGAGGCAGGACGCTTAAAACGCTAAAAACGCTGCGCTCTGCAGCAACACAGCGCCCAAACACAGCGCTGTACTATTGGCGTGCATGAGAATAAACCAACCACCACACTCTGCAAGTGAGGCTTAAACATACCTGGAAACCTCTGCTACTAGAACAACACTTCTAAAGCTTAGGATTTTTTTTTCTTTACGCACAAAGTGCAACAAACTGCGCTTCTCTTAGTGACTAATTAACAGGCGCGCAAAATGTTGCTGCACATTTCAGAATTGAGCTCCAGCGCATGCATTTCAAACAACTATTTGTAAGCTGTTTGCACTTCAAAACGCTCATGATTCAAGTCGAGGAGGAACTAATAACCTCCACTCAACGCCTGGATGCGCAATCTCCTCCGGGAAGGGAAAAGTAGTCAAAAGAAAAGCGCACATCTGCCTCACCTTCTGCGGTTGTCCCGAACAAGCCAAGAAGGAGAAGAAGCCAGGCAACCCGAGGAATAATCCCAGCGACTCTTTTAGACTCCATATCCCTGGTAGAAGGGGGGAAACCCGGAGGCTGCTGAGCGTCAGAGCCTGCTTTCTGCCGCTGGAGGAGAGAAACACGCACGACCTCTGTTCTCCTGCTCCGAAAAGGATCTGCTCCAACCCGACGGAGGGAGGAGAGGAAATGCTGATGGAGAGGCAGGAGGAGAAGGTGGAGGGCTTGGCTTTGCGAGTTGCACCGGAATGTGCTCAGAAATGGGAGGAATTTTTGGCGAGTAGCTGGAAGGCTGTGGAGATTTTGCGAAACAATAATAACAATTTAATGTCTGTTCCTATAAGTGAGACAGTTGGGCTGTGGGGTCATTGATAGAAAAAGAGGAGGAGAAAAAATACTTGACACCTGGACATTTCTGAGCATCAAGAGTCGAAAATTTGCTTGGAAAACCTCATAAATTTTGAGATTCATCTCAGAACTCTTCCACAAGAAACATGGAAATTCCTGAGTTCAAAATGTTCATGTTTTTAAATTGGGCTGCATGGTTTACTTGGATTCTTTGAACACGGTGAGCTGGAAAAAAATCACATATGGAGAGTTTTTTTAAAAGTGTTCATAGGAAATAGTACCGAAATAGTTGTAATTGTGTGGCATAAAAGCAAAAAACATACATGTCTTTATAAGCTGGTTCATTTATTTTGAAATGTCTGAAATCTGACATCATTGATGATTAACAGTCATTGGTTAACAGTAGTTGTTTTGTAAAACAGAAATCCAAGTGCAGCTTTGATTTAAAAGGACAAAGGCGTCACAGAAAAGCTTCATTTTGAAGATTTTAAGATGAGTTTCAACAGAGGTTTAGTTTTTTTTTTTTAGTGTTGGGCTGGAAACCGCCATCCCTGCTCCTCGTTTTTAAATACAGCTCTCCTTTTTCTCCGATTCTCTTGTCTTTTACCCCAGGCATTCTTCTTCAGTTGTATCAGCTTATTCTTGGTCCCACTTGTCATCACTTACTGGTTTCCACCCAAACAGCTCCTGCCAGCTGTCATGGCGGCTTTTCTCTTGATCTTCCACAATGGTGCCTTCATGTTTCAGTTATAAGTTCTTTAACTTCAGTTTGGTTATTTCTGCCGTCAAATACGACAAAGGACAGAGCTGTTATTAATTAGACTTAAACAGTTTATTGTTGTATGAATTTCTGTTCCTCTTTTTCCTTCAAGTCAAGATTTCAGATGTTTTATCGTCTGAAAGGAAAATTGTTTTTGATGAATTGAACAAGTTTCATATTTTTTTCTTTTAAGAGTTCATTAGTAAAAGTTTTAATTTTTTCCTTTTCTTTGTTGCAAGGAAGTGAGCACACATCACGTGTCATATTCATATTAGAAAACTTTCTTTTTTAGATATTCCTAAAAGATATTTAAAAAAAATAGATAAAGCTTTGCAACGACTGATAGCTGCATTTCTAGAAACCATGTAGTCATCCTTGTTTGTTCTGGATCTTTTTATATCAAAAATCACATTTTCAAATTACTTTATTTTTTAAAAAAAGAGTAAAGATTGATTGGGATTTGACATCTGATGACTTTTAAAGATTTTAACTGAGATATGAAACACTCCGTTTATTTTTGGCTAGGAAAAAGCAAGACGGTAAAAACTTCAGATGAAGAGTTTATTCTTTTCCTGAAAGAAAAGCGTGTTATACCAAATAAGGAACCAGGTATAGCATTGCCAATTTGCTGCATTCATTATTCTGTGTGTAGGTTGCTTGTTTCTCCACATTAATGAGAAACTATGTGGACTCACCAGCTTGAGTGTCTCCCACTTCCACTTGTTCAGTCTTTTGTTTCTTCACAATTTCTACAGTTGTGTACCTTAAAACATTTCCTCAGTCTTACATGCATGGCTGAGAAAAGTCCAACAGATGTTTCATTAATTATGGCAGAAAATGAGATGGAAAAGAGCAAAGACAATCTCCTACCGAGATGAAGGAAAACATAAATGAGCCTTTCTTTGACGATGTAAGTACACTGAACAGCGTTAGTTAATTGACCATTGTTACAAAACACCACTCACTGAAAAGTCAGCCACAGATTCTTTCAATCACCGCAGATTTTCCATCAAGCAAGAAACGCAACACGCTGAAAGGATTTAAACCCTAAAGGAGATGCACAAGTGTGCTGCCATGCCTCTCATTGGCTGAGGATCCATGTCTGTTTATAAAATACATGGATTTAGTTTGTGGCAAATATGAGTGGCAGTATTCCATTAGAAATCAGGAGGCCGCAGTGTTTTAACGCAGATTGCAGAGGAAATGTATGACTGTATTGCCCCAGGGTAAAAGTGACACGTTCGGCGTGTTCTGTAGAATGGCAGGCGATAAACAAATAAATAGCAGGGAGATTGTATTCAGGCTTTACAGGATATGATGAAACCCAGAACAGACTTGAGAGATTTTAATACTTGAGACTCAAGAGAGTCAGGATGTCATATTTAATAGAAAGAAATCCAGAAAAAACCCCAATTGGCAACCAGCCGAACAGCGACAGAATATTATGTAGAGTGAAGTGTTTCACGAAACATTGTGTAAATTCAAGAGCAGAAAATCTGGTGTCTAGTGTAAATATCTTAGTACACTTGAAATAAGACAAAACTAACCTAAAATTAACTTTTTAGTAATAGAGGAAAAAGTACTGATTCCATTGGCAGATTTTTTCACTCAAAGACATTTTTCCCAGCTTATGAGTTAATTTATCTGCCAATGGAGCAAGAACGTTTTTGTTTTGACCAGAATCAGTCACTAAGAGAATATCAGGCGGCATTTATGGCAAATTTTAATGGATGTTTTCTCAAAATATGTGATTCTGTAGAATAAAAAGAAATCAACATTGTTTTGACAGGGGTGTCCACAATAGATTTATGAACAGAAAACAATTAAAGATGGTTAGAAAAGTTTAAACATTTCAGGGGGAAGAGCTGCTGATATGAGAATACGTTACAAGACTGTCATTATGAAGCTTGATGAGATGATTATTCAGAAATGGAAGAAATATGAAAGGACCATTAATTGTCCTCATTCTGGTGCTCCATTAGGGGTGAGGGATGATTATAAAGAGGAATCAGTCCACAACTGCAAGTTAACAGCTTATTAATGATCTGAAGACAGCTGGGACCAAAAGCATCAATTGTGACGCGACACCTTGCAGCCGTTTGCTGTAGAAAGTCCGAATGTAAGACGAATTTTAGGCATAATTCTGAACAGCAAACTCATTTGGAAGCCTAACTTTTGATATTTTAGAGCTAAAATTGCAAAAACTATTGCAATATTGTTTAAAGTAAAATATATAATAAAAGTAAATACTTGTACGTCACATGAACTATTTGTCAAATTGCTTAGAAATATGGGAACATGCAAATAAAACGCTATTAGTTAAGTTACAAAGAAAACTATTAGACTTGCTAATAAAGTGGGACATTGTGAACCAATTAATAAGTAACACTTTAAAATGTTAAAATAATGAAAGTAATATATGAGTCATTCTTTCTACGAAATGATTAAAGTTATATGTGTATTTATTTATTTCAGTAGATTGCTGAATAAGGCTTGGCTTATTCTGTTAGAAAATGCTGGTTTGTTAAACATTGTTTTATTTTGTCTCTCTTCTTGTATTGTAAATTTTTCAATCTGTATCTGAAGCTGATGTACAGATTCAGCTTGTGGACATTATGCAGAAAAAGCTTCTAAAAACTCTTTCTAACAATTGAAACTAGCTTTGGAGTTGCATAAACACTGAATGTGAATTAAATGCTGTTGCTGGAACAAAAGCGTAAAATTTACCCAAAAGAAAACTGTTTCTGTGACATGAAATAATCATTTAAGTATCAGATTTCCATGTCAGACTGATTGATACAGAAATAACCAAATTCTCTTATTTGAAATGATCTTTTTAGTTTATTCTTTGTGTCTAGTATTTGTGGTCAAAAATGTATTTGTTCATAAGTAAAAAATTGGATTTTAGTTGTGGTTTGGTCGATATGTGTAAAAAAAAACAAAAAAAAAAACAACCAAACCATCAGATAATAAATGAAAATTGTTTGCTGCGTAATTTTTTGGATGCAGAAAAGCATTGTCTACATCTTAAGAATGCAGAAAACATTTTTTTTTTTAAAGGACTCGCTGAGCACACAAAAAAAAAAGAACAAAAAAGAGTCCAGGCTGAGATCAGCTATTTTGCTGACTTTGTCTCCAGAATCAGCTCTTGGATGAGTTTTTCCTTAAAATGTGGCTATTACTTATTTAAATAAAGACTGCACGACTTAGAAAACTAACAGAAAATCCACAAAAGCCATATTGTTTCACTTTAGAAAGCATGTTTTGGAACAGAATGAGAATGCACTCTGGTGCTTTTTGTGATAAAACTAATTGACACTTTGAAAAAAAAAAACACCACTCTACTTTGCATTCCAGCTCCTGAACAATTATTGTGCTCCTAGGGCCACTTTTTCATGCAGATTTGCTGGCAACCTAAGCGCTCAAATCTAAATTTAACTGTTTTATGCTAAATGAAAACTCTGCATATGAAAACAATAATCATACAGAGTTCCACATGTTTTTTTTGTGGAATAAATTATAACTGCAGGTACCAGCATCGGGTAATATGGAGCATTTTAAGAGAGAGGAAAAGGGAAAAATAAAGGAGGGTTTTCATGCTGCTCACGTAGTCGGAATAAAACAGCTCAGTGTTACCTCAGATTCACGCCCCTTTTAGGGGACGAAAGGGGCAACTGTGAAGCCTCATGGGAGAGGAGATCCTGATGGCATTCAGTTGGGTTTTTTTACCTTGAAATAAAAAGCAAGAAAACAAAAAGGGGAGAGAATATTTTGCAGAGAGGAAGGGATGATTAACACCCACCAAGGGACAGACACCAAGGGGAATTAGCAGAGAGTCAGTGCAGTTTGGAGGGTCGTATTTCGTCGACAGTGAAGTCTACAGGAAACATGGGAAATATGCATGTTGCAAACCAGCTGGGTGTTTGATTTTGATGCTAAATGAGGAAACCGTTCAGGTGTGAATGTGTTGTAGCCCTCATGTTGATTTAAACCCGAGGGATACAACTTGCAGTTTGATTACTAAAACAA